CATACATCGCATTGTAGATCCCGATGTTCTATCCTGATCATCCGATGAGTCATGATGTGTCGTCTTTAGATCCTTTTGTAGACTCACCTGGTCTTAACGCGCCTTCATGAGCCTGTCTAGCTAGCTCATCTGCACATGCTTGTTGCTCTTCTGCTTTTCTGGCAGATGCAGCGGCCCTCTTCCGCTCTTTCTTTTGTTCTTTCTTTTTACTGCTAGGCATTTTTGCTTCGTATTGGGCTCAACTCGCGTCGCCTATGGGGCGCGGATCAATAAGTTACTCTTTCTTAAGTAGTTCACTGTGGGCCCACAACCAACAGGTTAAGGGCAGTCTAAGTGGGTGCTAGAGCTGACTTAAGAAGGAGGCCACTCTCGTAGACTCGGGCACGGTGCCGCACAGACAAACTGCCAGCGAGGTTATTGACCGGGGGGCAATACGGTTCAAGCACGAATTTATTGTCCGAGAGGCTTTCGACCAATGTTTCCTGGCCACCCGATTTTTGTTGCAGCACTTTTGTTTCACCATTATTATCAGCGGGTTCCGCTGATAGCCACACATATCAAAACTTCATGCAACAAAAATCGCAAAGCCATTCGGACAAAGGCTCGTTCCAAAGTCGTGCTTGAGCCCTATTGCCCCCCGGTCTATTATTATTATGTACGTTGGCGGGGAAGGGGGGAGAGTATCACAGGAGCATGTAATCCTAGTTAGGATATTGGCTGCTCATTGTTTGTTATTTGACTCGTACTAGGGAAGGCCTAGCACGCGCCCAGGCTAATGCGGAAGTTTTGCGTTTATCTACCTTGGCAACACACGATATAACTGGGCTAGAATTCGGCTGGGGAGGCTAACACGCAGTAATCCCTGTCGGATCTTCTCGCATGAAGCTGCTTCTCATATGCTTGTCCAAACATAGATGTGCTGTTCAAGTTCCGGGGAAACCGCCCTCGATTCCCCGCGAAGCATGTTTCTGTAATTGTCCGACCTTCTGCTAGGCCGCGTACATCCTGCCTTTTCGGGGCTTGTGCAGGATGGAGGCACTATGTGATGCCAGAATCTAAAGGGTGGGCAAACCAGGTGGGCGTATGTTTGCTCGGCTCACCACGAAGGAGAGCCATTGTCCCAGCCGAATTTTTTTCAATACAGTGCCTTCGTGGGATGTATGTATTGACCGCGCTGTCTTGTGCATATGCAAATGCGTGCTCTTCTCGAGCAGTGCTCTCACCGACGTGCTTGCGGCCACGGTACCTCGGTTTTAGGTCCATCGCTGCAGATTTAGGACGCCGTCTTTGGGCAGGTTCGGGTGTGTGAATTGGCCGACTACTGGCACCCATCGTCGGGTTCGGGACGAACGTAGCTGATTTGTGATTGCGAGAGGTTCGATGATGGTGCGCGCTCACTCGCATCCAACCGGGTGCGTCAGTGGAAGCGACTCTCGAAGAGTCGCGTCGTTGTGTGTGACTAAGCCAAGCGACTGCTGGCTTCACAGTTTTTTTTTTTTTTTTTTTTAGCTGTGAAGAGTTGATTATTTCCGCGACATTTGCAGTATGTGTTGCCTCGTATGCGGCGTATTCGTCGATGGACATGACACGCGCGATCTGTCCTTTGTGTTCGCGGTGGAGCACGGGCACCGCATTCCCCAGTCGGAACTCTACAGGGGCTGCCGGTGAAACGGCACTCTTCGAGCCAGCCCATTCGCTCGTGTTTGTCGGCATCTCTGGAATCTCTGGCGCCCAACGGTTATTAGTCACGTAAACAGCTGGATACCCGAGCCGCCGGTCGATCAATGGCACGTTGGGGAGTCGCCACACGTCGGGCGCATCGCTTGAAACTGCGCTATCCAGCCCGTCGTGACTTCGGATCATGTGGAGCGGGGTTACCTCATTTCTCCTGCTCGCAGCGGTGTGGACTACTGGGCCTCTCTGTTCGCACCACGGAGAAGAATATTGTTGCGCCGCCTTTGCAAACAGCGGCCCTAAGGCTGCTAACTCTTCGTGTTCCCAGCCGCCATGCGCCATTTCCGTGTATATATATCTTCTCGAAAATACAAGCCGGCCTACGGCCGGCCAGCTCGCTTCGCGAGCTGTCGGCCACTCGTTTGATTGAGGTTGCTCGCTGCGCTCGCTTCAACCACCCATTAAAAGTTTTATGTTGCTGCTCGGACACACGCTTCGCGCGACGGCAAATAGCATTGTTAAAAGAGGGGGGGGGGGGGGGGGGGGTT